CCCTGGACCGTCACGGGGGACAGGCAGCAGCTCCCCTCAGCCGAGACTTTCTCAGGGAAAGAGTGCTTCGGCCACAAGCCTGCCATGCAAAGAGGTGTCCAAACCGCTGTGGTGGTGGGTCATAGCACCACATGTCTTGTTCAAAGTCATAGTTGTTTTGCTTTGACCATGTTAAACGAATGGAGCTGAGATATACATAATATGTTTGTGTTGAAACTTTACATCTCTGGACATTTACAAATCGCATTTGGAACCTTTATACTCAAGAGAGCCAACACATGTACTCTGATGGACCCCTGGCTTTGACTACGGGGGCCACCTTGTTGGTAGATTCGATGTACTCCTGCAACTGCGCACTATATCAGATCGCAATCCTATATCAGCTTGTACAGGCCTTGGTCCTAGTCGGGAAAAGAAAGGTGAAGCGAACGTGCCAGCTGTCCATATATATGTATATAAAGGCAGCGAAACTGATACAGGATATAGCATGGCATAGTTCTAGTACGTCAGACAATTCACTATATCCCGATTTCTTTGAACTGCCGAGATTTGGTCAGACATCTTGCAGTTTCAACGTCAAAACAATGATTAATCACTTAAAACAACATCAAGAGAAATCACCCACATTAGGGGTGCCAGTCAGCTCTCACCGCAAGCTCTCACGGCGCCTGTGTCTGTTGGTCTGGTCCGAGTGAATGCGCCAAATGTCCGGGAAAATGGAGCCCAGCAAACTCTCAGCTTTCATGGTGGACTCGAAGAACCTCCAGCGTGAGCGATGGACCAGTTCTCCAACACGGACCGGCGGAAAGCCGCTCAGCTCTGATTGCCCTGAACTCCTACTGCCATGTGCCAATAACAAATGGATTGGATGAGATGGTTGGGAAAGGATTTAAAAGATTCTCTTCCAGGGGTGCACGTTGAAGATATGTGAAGATGTTTCAGGCTATACATGTTGATTTCAGGGTCCATTTTTAGTTGTTGCTTTTCCGGAGGGCCGGAGGCTTTGGGGTTGTTTTCACTGTTATTTTGTGGCTTTCCAGGGCAGAGATGCCTGTCTAAAGTCTAAAGGAATCTAAAGGAGTTATGACACATGCCTGGACTCAACAGCTGGTGCGCCTGCTGCTGACGCCAAACTAGCTTACAAGCAACTAAAAAGGAACATTTGTTCATGCGGCATAAACGTCCCTCGCGGAACTTTGGCATGCATTGACCCCCCCGCAAATACAATGACACTAGCATACCCGACTCGACCATGGGAATCCAACACCCCACTGGCCGTTGGTTCGACAAATGGTCTATCTTGGGTATATCCCAGGACCAGGGACCAGTGGATGATGGTTGGGTTGCAGGCCTTTCTCCAAAAACAATGTTATGATCCTTTACCAACTGTTCCAGGTTTATTGAATGGGACAAACATGGACAAACCCTTTGTCTAGACACAAAGTACACTGAATTCGTGCGCTCCACCGGCGTGCTCTTGTGCTGGCAACCATGGCCAAGCAGCAGCGCACTGGCGCTCGGCAACCACGACTGGCAAGCGTCCAAGAGTAATGAAGCCATGAGGCAAAGCTGGTGCTCCTCGCGGCACGCGTGGAACGTGGCACGTCACGTCGAGGTGGATGGAAACTGGAATGGTCGAAAATGATCAGGAAAGCCAGTTGAAAGCGATTGGATGGTCGAAACCAAATCGAGGGATGTGGATGATGCTTTTTCATCGACCTTGCTGGAACCCTTGGAGTTGTCAAAGCATCTTTCTTCATCTTTCTTCTCTTCGATTTGCTGTCAAGGAATGGAACCGAAGAACAAACCATCTTCCCCAGCTTCGGCGATTCACCCAGTTCGGGAATCTCCACATCCAGCCCCCCGATTCACCACAAAACCATACAAAGCAAGTTCCTGATGGTGGCAAGCCTAAACTTCACACCCTCCCATCAAAAGCCCTGCCTGCACCAGCAGCGCTGAACCAGGTCCCTCTGCCACGCGAGGCACCGGAGCGCAGCAGGCCACGGCTTTGGGGTGGAAGGGCAGCGCATGCAAGGCCAAGAGCTGTGCGACCTGGGAAGAAAATTGGTAAAACTTCTTGGGGGTTTAAGGGTGGAACGTAGGCTGGGACATGGAAAGTGGTGTTGATAAATCTTTGGTGGATTGAGATTGAAACCCAACCAGCCCAACCAGCCTGATGTTCCTGTCCTTGCCAGGTTTGTGGGCATAGTCTCAAGATGTCTCAGGACTAGTTGTGCCATGAGGCCAAAAGGCTGTTTTGGTGAAACTGAACACATAACTGAACATAACTGGACTACAATTCGTTTGTTCTTTCAATAAGTTGTGTACTTCTGCAAAGTTCCCAACCAAACACGAAGCTTTCTCGAAAGATCTCTCTGCCTCTGCTCGTATGGTTTTTCTTGCGTCTGAGGCACCGGGGCATCTGAGAGATACTTGATGTGGACCCGTTTCAGCGCCTGCGGTGGATACTCAAAAGGCAGCCTGTTTTTTCGTGTGGCTCCTTAGTTTGGGCCGTGACATGCCAAACTCAAAGCATCTTTGCACATCTTTGCCAATGGTCCAACATTGGGATGGATACTTTGATAGACTTATATATATATATATATAGAGAGATTTGTATACTTAAATGGATTACTAGGATTTAATTAGTTACTCCACTTCAAGAAATCCGTTGCTGCAGCGTATTCTGCAGACATCATTCCAGCATCTTCGGCCCGCCCTGATGGCCTCGTCCAACTTGGGATCCTGCCACATCCGTGCACAGGCTCGGTGTTCGCCTGTCCCCCTCTACAACCGCAAACAGTGAAACGCTCCATCTGCAAAATACCTTTGCTTTCAACAAGCAACCACCAAAGCAAGCAAGGGCACGGCAACCTTTCAGTAGCTTTCCAAACATGTGTCTTTAAAAAAAAAAAAAACACACACACACACACATGTGCCAACTCTTCTCAAAACCAACTCTTCTCGTGTGGGACTGACATTCCTATTTGTTTGGACACTCACTCCATGTTGTTCCGCTCTCCCCATGTTCATCCGTGAATCAGATCAACACCGCCCAATTTTCAAGATCCCACAGGCGCTGGGTGGCGAGCTGCAAGCTGCATCGGGAATGTTCATGAACGGTACCAAAGGCACCCACTGGGTTCCGAACCCTGCGGTCGCCAACACTGAACTATCCATTTCAGCGTACCATGGTCGTGGCATCTAGGGGCTTCCAACCTTCACATCCACCCCCCCGTGGGCGGCGCGGTCCGCGTCCTCTGCCAGCGCCCTGCGCGCCACTTGGCCATTCCGGAGCTGAGACTTCTCACAGAGGAGTAGACAGTGTGCCTGCGATAGGCACCATCTCAGTATGGCAAAGGAATTAATATGTGTAGGGGTCTTGGCAACGGTATGGCCAGAAACCCTTAGCAAAAGACTAACCCTTGTGATCCAAATGGATAGGATAGGATGACACAATACTTCTATCACGAAATGCACTGGATACTTTCATAGCTTGGCAGTGAAAGGTCCGTGGGGGAACCCGTGGTCCGGAGTTGACGCAAGGCTGCAAAACGGAGGGGCCGCCAAAACAGCAGGGTCTTAGCGTAAGACCACCTATTGATTGGCCGTCAAAAAGACTACACAAGTCAAACGTCTGTCTGATTGCTCTAATTGGCTGGGGATTAGGAAGATGATGGATGATTTTCTGGAGGCCCATGAGAAACTTCTCCGGGTCTCCATAAACCTCTGAGCGGCCCACCGAACGTGGCCAATAGATGCTAATAGAATATCAACGAATAGCGAAACTTTGCATCCTACTCAACCAAAATTTGATTAAAGCTCAACTACGCAGTAGAACATAGTCTCTACTCGGCAGCTCCTTTGACGTGTTTGCCAAAAAAAGTTCCTGTGGCACTGATTCCATAGGCGCCCTATTCGCTCATATTCGCTCTACAATCGATTGTCTCAGTCCTGCATTACCTTTATGATGTACGCTAAAGCTAGTTCTGATGACACAGCCAAACATAAAAAATGCATAAACAACGCAAAAAAAATGCAAAACCAATCCCGAAAAAAATGCACAGAAAACGCAAAAACAAGTCACCAAAGGATCCCTTGAAATGCAAAAAAAAACAAAAAAAACGCAAAAAACATGCAAAAAGCTAAATTGATCACTCAAAAAAATGCAAAAAAAACAAAAAAAAACGCAAAAACAAAGCAAAAAAATGCAAAAAAAATGCAAAAAAAAAGCAAAAAAAATGCAAACAAAACGCACAAAAAAGGGCACACCGCAAGAAGAAACAACAAAATCACAACAAACGCTGGCAAAACCATAGCACATGCAACAACAAACCCATTAACATAACAAAAACATGTGCATTAATACATCAGGTTACAGCAGGAAAAGAAAGCGTCCAAAAAAATAGTTGCAAGCAAAAACAGCCGCTAATACACTTGGCAAAGGTATGAAGGGGGCACACTTCCTTGCAGAGCAAACTAGCAAGAACCAGTAGCAAAACAATCGAACCTATGGTGGTAGTAGTAGAAAGTAGTGAAGTGCAAGCAAGAGATCAATATGTGCTCACCTGCGCACATGATCACTGAAGACTTGCTGTATGTTATGTTTTTGCTTGACGTGTTGAGCTTGAACAAATTTGGAAGGGCTTGGGCGAGCTGGCTCGAGCTGTTAGATCTCGGGGCCAGTGTGTCGCGATGAAGGGCTGGCACAATTTGACACAGGCAGCGTTGGCTGACCTGGAGAAAGAGGAGGAAATTTTTGGCGAAGCAGAGCTTGTGAGAGAATCCAGTTCTGAAGAGTCAGATCCTAGTGTGATCCCACTTTCTTCCCAGACCTCAGATGAATCTTGGTTGAAACTCAGACCACTCTTTTTTTCATGCAATTGTCCACGCATCCTCAGCTCTGAAGTCTGAAGTGTCTTCAACAACTCTGCGTGAGGGTTTAGAGTCTAGAGTCTAGAGTGGGTTTCAAGGATTGGTTCGTCTTCCAGTTGAAGATGAGTTGCAGAGATCTCGCTCCTGGCGGAGTTCCTCGGAAAGGTTCGATCAAGGTACTTTCATCTTGCACGGGAAGCTGTGCAGAGGGCTCTGCCTTGGATGTAGGAAACTCAGGATCTGACCTTCTTTGGAGCGCTCATTCCCACATTGTGTCATTAAATTTGTTCTATCCTCCCTCCTGCTGTTCTATCCTCCCTCCTGCTTTACCTTTGAGGCTTTGGGCATTCCATATGAGCTGGTTGGGGCGTCAGAGATTAACCCATCATTTCGGTCAGTCATCCAAGCAAACTTTACAGTGAAGCATTTGCACAACACGATGAAGGATCAGGTGGACAGTGCCGCCTGCCTTTTGCACAGAGACAGCTGTGATTCTTGCCGTCTCACTCCATGTGATCTAGCCATTTTTGGCACGCCGTGCCCTCCGTTTAGTGAGCAGCGAACGAAGCGATACAGGAGTGGATCGGTCAAAGAGCACCCACTGACCCGTGTTACCATGGAGGACGCCAGAGACATGATCGTCCTAGGTGGCCACAAAGCTGTAGTGATGGAACAGGTTCAAGGTTTTGATCGAGCAGAAGTTGCTGGGGATGCAGAGTTTACCCCAATGAGAAGGCAAGACATGTCTTCATCTTGCTGAATTCAATGTTTCAATTTCATCAGCCCACCTGGACTGGATTGACCATGTTGCTGATTGACCATTTGTGTAGGTTCCTGCAGAGCGTCGATGCCTCCATGAAGCAGAGTCGCAATGCAGGGTACCACGTTGTGATGCTGAAGGCAGATTACAGCCAGTGGGTAGAGATCAGCCGAGAGAGGACCGTGCTTTTTTGTTTCTTGTTTTTAGACTATGGCTATGAAGTCAGGTCGGCAGTTGCCAAGTGCTGGGTCATTGCTAGCTGCCAGGCTCAACTCAACACCAAAGGTAGTGCCCAAATGTAGAGTCATTAAGCAGAAAATGTAAAGCTACTGCATGCGATGTACAATGAACATTGCCCAATGGTTTTGCCAGCGTCCTAGGAACAACTTGGGAAGCACATGTCTGTTAGATCTTTTTTGTAGTGATTGCGGGCGATTGGTGTGCATGTAGAGTTGACGCGTTGCGCCTGCGGCTTTGTGCCTACCCCCCTATGCCGAAGCAGCCAGGGACTCATGCTTTTAGGGCCTTGCTCAAGTCTCTGAAGGAGAAGCAGCAAGGAGAGGTAGAACAAGATCCAGGAGATGCAGGATCACAATTGTCACAAAAGGAAAAGCAGCTGCAAAACCTTGCAGCTGCAAGGGCCGCCAAAGCAGCAAAGGCGGCCAAAGCTAAAGCTGCTTCAAGAGAAGGCGAATCGACTTCGTCGCAGGAAAGCTTTGCAGACTTTCCTGTGTTGACGTTTGGGTCCAAGATGCAACAACAGCTGGCACAGAGTGTAGCAAAATTGATGGGGCAGCTGCGCAAGCAGGAGAGTAGCAGCACAAAAGAATCTTTCCGATACATTTTCCAGGAGAAGAGGCCAGTGACTGGTCTTGCAGCGGAGGCTGGCCATAGGGCTGTGGGCAGAAGAGCATTCACCAGCTTCTTGCAGGAAGCAGCGTGTTTCGTGGTCCTTTTCGCGAGCTATTTGGTTGGAAGCATGCTGACTGGTCTTGGCGCGTTGGTGGCAGAAGGCACTGATGCAGCTATCTTGCTGTGTGTGAAGAGAACGTATGATGAGACGCCTTCCAAAATCACAACTACTTCCAAAGATCCTGCCAAGAAAAAACGCAGCAAACAAGAAGGTTCCACTGCCAAAGTTCTTCAGACCCGTGGCGAAGTGCTGATTCTAATGAGAAGGAAAACCACTGACGAGCACTATGTCATCCGCTGCCCTTTGCCAACCCATTTGCAGGCAGTAGACAGGACTACCGCTGAGAATACCAGGGCTTGTCAGCAAACCTTCCTTGCACAAGTTCCAGGCCTCAAAGATTTCGGAGACCAATGCCTTTTCAACATTGGTTTGGTGACCACAGACAAATACGGAGCAAACCTCAAATGTGAGCAAACGATGGGTCCGAAGGGCATCAACAGTGCGAATTCTCATTATACATGTGATATTCATAAACTGGCAACCTGCCAGTCGAAGACTCTCAAGCTCACTGATGGGCATATCAGTGCCCAAATTGCCGCAGCAATATGCTTTTCTGAAGCGGGCAGCACAAGGGCTTTGAGAAAGTCTCTATTGAAGGTTCTTTCTACAAAGCTGTACGTCTGCTTTGGAGTGTGCCCTCGTGATGAGTTTGCCTTGGCTTACAGGCAGAAAGTCTTGGATACCTTCTTGCCACAGTGTGACTGGGATGAAGAAAGCGGAGACCTACCTGACCAAACTCGCAAACGGAAAATCCAGCAACAACGTTTGTGCGTTCAATACTTCTTTCATTCTGATCTTCAAGACAAAGACCAAATTTTCTTCTGGACGACTCATTGGGGATTGGAAAAGAAGGAAGTTCTTCAGGTCATGGAGGAGTTCCTGGTTCCTTACTTACTACCCTGCAAGCCGCCCATATTCAGCAGGAGTCGGTGGAATGGCTTTCAGGGGGCTTTGAGGTGGTTTGGTTTATTGGAAATGTGTCACGGTTTGCTCAAACCGACTTTGCAAGATTACCTTGGGGATCGCGCAGTGCCATTGCCTGTGCCAGTTGCAGAGGCAGAGGCCCCTCAGGCCTTGCATCCTTTGACTCTTGGTCAAGAAGGCCAAGAGGATGAGCAGCGTGACGCGTCAGAGCAACATGTGCAAGAAATGAATCTGGCAACGGGCGACTTGGACTGGAAAGCCTTTCGGCTGCAAATGCAACAGAAAGTCCGTTTGTGGATGCATGAGCCCATTGGACCAGCGTTGGCAGTGATGGCAACTGCAGTGGATGCGCTGTGCTACTTCTTCAACTGCATGCTTGATATGGGGTCTAAGGAATGGGAGAGATCCCAACAAGCTGAAGTTGCCCAAGGAAAGCCTAGAACCTATCCTGTCCTAGAGGCTGCCAGAGGGACTTTGCTTCAAAAGTTCAGGGCAGAGATCAACAAGCACTTCCACGAGAGGATGGCCCTGATCACAAGAGATGATCATTTAAGGCAATTCCAAGTCCTGCTGTTCAGAATGCTGTCGATAAGCATGTGCTCTGTGGAGTTCTACGTGGGCACAGCGTGGCACACATATCCAGTCCAGCTGTTCTCTTCCCTGGATGGTCATCATCAGGTGTTGAGGGACAAAGAGTGCATGTGGTGCCCCTTAACCAAGCTCTTGGCCTCCACGTACTCAACCGAGCCGGAGCTTTCAGGTGTTGAGGCTCAGTCAATACTGCCGTGCGTGGCTTCCATTTTTGAGCTGGACATAGCAGACCTCGAGTCTCGCCATGCAACAACCAGACGAGTGACAGCCATCCACTCAATCCAAACCCACTCGCCTGACCTTGCTTTGCTGAATGCCGACTGGGTATGCAGGAACAATGTGATTGACAGGGCAAGCTCCAGAGTGAAAAGCACCTGTTCTACCAAAGAAGGAGCAAAAGAGAGACCTCAAGACAAAGAGAAGTCTTACAGGGCAAATGCCTGGAATGCTTTCATGAGTGACAGGTGCACCCAAAAGATTGCCAAAGGAGAAGACATGGCAAAACTCAAGCGCGAGTACCGCTTATTGTCACAGGAAGAGAAACAATTCTATCAATCCATGGCTGAAGTTGCCAAATGCGCAGCAGAAAGAGGAATGAAACCCTATGCACCTGTTCGACTGAACAGTAGCCCTTCTGATGCAATGGACGATGGTGGAACGCTTGCCCCACTGGGCACGTTGGTTGAGGCTACAAGCGCAGTGGGAACTACAGAGGAAGTTGCTGCCCAAGCCCTTGTGTTGGCTTGTGATGAAGTCCAAAACCTCTTGGCGGGTTCCAATGCTGAGTATAGGCGTGTGACCAGGCGACTTGCTTCCTTCACAGAAGTGGCGGATAGGAGCATTGAGCAGTTTCATCAGGACGAGTCCTGCTTGCAAAGGCCAAAGCAATGCTGCCCAGCTGCCTTTTCCCGCAGTGTGCCTTCGCTGGATGGGCTGCATTCATTCAGGCTGCATATGCCTGCAGATGACTTTGGGGAGGCTTGGCCATTTCACAAAACAACATTAAGTGAATGGGAAAGGGGGCTCTAGACTCGACTATTGACTATTTACTATTTAGACTTGGGACTCATCCACTGGGTTCACAGGTCAGTCCCTATTGAATATGTGTTCATTGGTTGTTTGAACTTGAATCGATTCTTTTTGGCTTCTATATATATATATATATATCGTGCCCACAGGTCCTCTTGGCAGATGGAGAAAGAAGCCAAACTCGAGCTCGCTTGCTGGAGGAATGGAAAAACATGAATGATTTGTACATTCATGATGAGCAGGTGCCAATCAATCCCGGAGACAGGGCAAAAACTCAATCCCTATGCAATCAGCTGGGGCTTTGCGTTTGCCAAGACGATGGCCAGAAGGCATTGAGGTTTCAGCAGCAGCTTGCATTCTTTCTTCGCCACGACTTTACCCCAAAGCGCAAAAGGAAGCAAAGGGATGGTTCTGCTCCAGAACCATTGTCAGCAGCTGAGACACTGAAGCAATCCACTCTGAAGCGGAACAGGCAGCTTTTGAGCGAAGCTTTTGTTGTGTTGAGATTGCAGCCAGCTATTTCAACACTCCCAGATGACTATGAGCCACCCACGGAACGCTCAGTTGTCCACAATTCATGGACTGAACTGGCGATGAAGGAGCTGGGGCTTGATTTGAGTGGTTCATCAAGGGCCACATCTGCAGCGGATGCGTTGTGGCTTCATGTTGGCCACGTGAATTTCAGCAGCTGGTATATGGGCTTGCTGGAGCTGAATCATGTGTCTGGTCCTGATGAAACGGGCTATATCCGCCTTCATGTTAGCAATCCTGCAAAAGCAAGCCACTCCGTCAGGGCATTTGCTCAGAACATCAACTTTGACACCACATGGCAGGTCTCGTGCTACACCATTGTTAGCAATTCTTCTCAGCTGACCTTGGAGGAAATGTCGCCTTACTGGGTAGAAGTTCAGGAGTTCCAAGATGTAGGCAAGTTCAACTTCTGGATGGGCTGGGAGCAAGAGAGGAGAAAAATGGAAGCCATCAAAAAGAGACAGACTGGCAGCTCTGCCAAAAAGAGAAAACCTGCTGCAGAGCCGTCGAAGGCACCGAAAGCCAAGAAGGCAAGGCCTCTCGAAGGTGGAGAGAAGGCTCCAGAAGCAGAAGCAGGGGCAGAGGCAGAAGAGACTGCGGCAGAAGAGCCTGTGCTGCCAGCAACGGCTGAGTTAGAAGATGTGGCTGCCAACCACGTTCTCTTGGATGAAAGCGATGATTCTGATGGTCACAGCTTTGGTTCCAGTGTTTGCAGCCTCCTCCAGGCTTTTGAATCTGAGTCTGAAGCAGCAGGCTCCGATTTGGAGAAGTCAGGGCCAGTGCAAAAGATTGTTGAGCCTGCTGCAGCTTCAAGCGGTGACCCGCCACCTTCAGCTGCAGCTGCAGTTCCCTCCAGTGCTGCGCATCCTTCGTCCGAGGAAACAAAGGAACGTGCTAAACACATTGTCTCTGGGCCCAGGGCAGCTCCTGTTCCCACCTCAGGTGTGGATTT